GATAGTCTCCTCCCTGAGATTTGCACAGCACTGCATGCAGGGCACATCACATCTACAACAGTCAAATTAAAATGGAGCATGGATTTGTATGCCTTGCTTATGCCTTAGAGAAATATCCCTGTCTCTCCTTTGGCTTAGTGCGTCTGACATAAAGCACTCCCTATCTGGCAGAAGCAGCTGCGATGAAAGTGACCTCTGATGATGAGGTCAGGTGGATTAGATGTCAATGTCAAATTGCAATGTGATCAGCCCATTTAAAACATTGACGAAGTATGACTGGCTGTGGATGTACAGGATTATCAATGTATTTTTAATGCTGCATTTCATTTCTCTTTTCTGTCGAGCTAAAACTTAGGAATGCACAATGAAATGAATGATGCAAAAACTGTTGCATGCAAAAGTTTGAACACCCAAAGCCAAAACACACGTTTTGTTGATTTTCTAAGCAAAAACATGTTGACACATCCTCTACACACCGTTAGAAATAAAGGTTCTGTGCAGGTACGTTTTTCGTTCATCAAGATACAAACAATGTACATGTACCTTCAGAGGTAAAACAGTGGTTTTAAGGTCCAATTTTGTACCTTAAATACGTTTTTCCAGTGGAAAAGTACGTATTTGTACCTTTTTATAACCTCATGTTTTAAAACAAAAGCCTGGAGACGAGACGGGGTGTGTGGAGTCAATACAACTCATAATAAAATATAATTTTAATGGATTATGGTACAATTATGTTCCCTGACTAAAGGTACTGAGACGTATCTTTAAGGGGACCACCCCAGTGACAGTTTTGTACCTTTCCTTCTGAGAGTGCAGAGAACACACTTAGATGTTTCTGCAAGTTTAAGCGCAAAATTTTAAATTTGCCATACTGATTCTTCCTCCTTATTTGCTTTCCCACAGTTTAAAATACTGTTATTTAGTTAGTCATTAAACTGTGCAATAAACTAATAAAAAGCTTTTTGCGTTTATACAATAGGGTAATAAATTAACCGCTCAATAAAACGGGTCAGAGACACTTTGGTAATTTCTATGTGTGTGTGTGTATATTTGTCTCACCTCTCTCCAAGTATTCCTCCAGGCCTCTCCTGCGAGCGTCCAGCTGCTGTTCAGACAGTGAGAAGGGCCATTTTCCTGGCAGCTTGGGGAACGTAAAGGTGGCAAACTCTCTTTTCAGGTTTTGATGCAGGATGGCAAACTCTCGATAGCGCTTAGAGCACAGCTGCCTGCCAGCCATGTACACATTATACACCTAGAACAAGCACAGACATGCAGAGCCTGAGGGGGTGCAAGCAAGATAAAAATAAAACAAATACACCACCGGTCAAAAGCCTGGAACAACTGTTTTTACTTTCTATACAATAATAACAGATACAACTCAGATTTCATATTATAAACTGCATACGAAGATTATTAAGACATTTAATTGACCATTATTTACTTATAAATTTAGCAATTTTATAAATAGTATACTTCCACTATCTCCTTGCAATCATTCTTGCCTCGTGATTTGAGCACTTACCAAATTAGAAGCATTCTCTACACTAATGTAGAACTTCTTCTGGATATTAATTTTTTGTAAACTAATTCTGGAAATTCTAGATATTAATATTTATTATAGCTTTATTCCAGACGTATATATCACTATATACGGAATTTTATTCTATTAGTATACAAATACTAGCATGTCTTCATATTTTACAGCTTCTTAGTAATTATTGGAAAGATGTGAAGTTACAGCTATCATGTTAGAATTATACAATTCATAAATGTATCTGCGTCACAGGTTTTACATTACTGAAAACAGTGATTACATACTTTTGAATGGCAGTGTAGATGAGTACAAGGGTGTCTTTTCTTGATGAGCAAAATATTAGAAATAGACACTGAACTGTTTTTACTTATCCTGTTTTTCAAATGGCGGTAAATCAAATCTGAGCCAGAGGTTCTACAGGAGATTTTGCTAAATTATGACTAGATTTGTTTGCGATTGGCTTCAAAGAATAAAAAAAATAAGAAACTTATACCACCTTTCTGTTAAAATGATAAATTCATCTGAAAACAGTTTTTTTGGAACCTAACCTTATTTGGATAATTCTACTCCTTGAGCAACATGCCACTACACAAGCAAAGCTGTATACTGTCACTGTCAAAACAAAAACTCGTATCTCCAAAAAGGTTAGTTAATAGAAGAAGAAAAAAAAATGTTCTTAACTTGAAGTAAAGAAGTTAATGGATAAATTATTATTATTATTAATTTTGGACCATTTTTATTGGTCCATTTCCCATGAAATTTTAACACAATGTATAGGGCAGCTGGCGAGTTCATCTCATGTCAAAAAATGAAAGATACAAGGTTTTGTCCCTACAGTGACTATATGAAAATATAAACAACACAGATTTGCACAGACTACATTATGAGAGTTTATATATATCCATATAGCAAAAGGTCAAAATGCTAAAATCTCTCATGCTGATGCCCAAGTTTACCACAAATTTCTCGCCATTCTGCTCCACATGTTTGTAGGTGGGCACAGAGATGGGCACGGCCTGTTTGTCGCTGTAGTCGTAGCAGGACTGGGCAGAGCCGTCATCTCCGGGGTCAAGACTATCTGTCTCCAGCTGAGGCACCGACAGGACGGCCAGTACCAGCTCCCTTTCCCCCGCTCGGATCAGATCCACCACCTGCTTATGAGTGGCCCCCTCCACATTCACTCCATTCCTACAGAGGAGGAGAGAGAGACAGAGGAAGAGAGAGAGAGAGAGAGAGAGAGATACATTACAGGTCAAAAGCTTGAAAGCAACACTGACTTCCTAAAAATAAATATTTTCCTAGAGATAATGAACAGTATTATGTTTATTAACACAAACAAAAGAGTGTGCAGCATTAGTGTGCGTACTAGGGATGCAAATTTTAGCGAACTCTTCTGACCAATAACTGAGCATCATTAGTCAGAAGTTAACTGTTAACTAGCAAGCCTAAAAACTGGCATGACATCAATATATCAATAATAAAACAGACGGAGGTTCTGAAATCCGCTTGGCCACATTTGAAGTACATGTAAAGCACTGATTATGAACAGGTTTAAACAAAGCACCACACTTTTATTTTGTCTGTAGCTCTTGTTGAACAGTACCTCAATTTGTCACAACTAAAAATTTTATTGTTACAAAATCAACTTTACAGACCACACTTAAGCTGATTAATCAATTATGAGTTGATTAATTCACTACTGACTATTGAAATATTATTTGTTTGTAGTCCTAATATGAACTAAACGCCCAAAACCGTATTAAACTACCCTACCAAAGATCCCGGTCAGTAAGAGGAGTCAGTAAGAGGAGTACACTTCAGAAATTGCTTCATGGTATCAGTGTTTTCTACTGCTGATACTCGAGGGTGTAGCCATGACTAGCCTGGGTAGGTCTAGGCCTACTCAATCAAATTGGGAAAGAATATTTAAGTCAAAATTTTTAAGATAATGAAACCTGTATTTAGTAAGTGCTGTCATTATATTATGGCCACTGTATTATTATATTAAACCATGCTCTCTTCTAAGCTCTGCCTTCTTTTCTCAGCCCTCCAATCACCGCTTGGAACTGCTGCTATCTGCCACTGACTCAAGCCTTCTGTTTGTCATCTGCATGTCAGTGTTTGAATTTGAAGGTCCAGCTGCAGTTAAAATATACGTAACTGGGAACATTTAAAAGGGAATTCCATCCCGCAGACTATGTAATTTTTACCCATACAAAGACAAGTTTAAAAACAGTCATTTTCGGTTTTCTGCAAATTGTGGAACTTACAATACTCTGAAATGGGCTTTGTGAAAATGTCACAGCAAGCATCTAACAGTGCTTCCATGCATTGAGTCATTAACAACAAACATAAATGGACCACTTACATTTTACACGCCTGCTGTGGCAGTATGCTTTAGCCTAGGGTAATCAGGTTTTTCAAGTTGTTTTTCCTCGTCTTTGCACATCTCAGCTGTCTGATTTTATCTCAGTTATGTCACCTTCTTTCGGAATGACCGCCGTGGCCGTACGCTTTAGCCTTGGGTGATCAGGTTTAGGCTGTGTTCTTTTCTTCCTCATCTCTGTACGTCTCAGCTGTCTGATTTTAACTTGCCTGTGTTTATGTGAATCCAGTATTCCAGTTGATTGCTATTGTTTTGTATCAGCATAGGGCTGGATTAAACAGAGTGATGACTGCACGGATGTCAGCGTACACAGAAAATTGGAAATGTCATCTACCAAGCTGGCCTACCCACTTTTTCACAGGCCTACCCATTTTTTTTTTCTGCCTAGACCTCTGCTGATACTGATACTGTATCTAAGCTCTAGCTGATACTGATATGGTATCAGCACTACTATTTGATCTAACTGTCAATCAATCACTCGTTGGATTTGTGATCTTTTCAAACAGGAGGAAACCACCTCTAGGATTTTGCTTTGGCTCTGTAGTCCAAGAAAGCATGACTGGTTCTGCTTAACTGGATATCATGTGAAATGTTAAGCAAAAAATGTCTTACTCTTTTAACAGCATTTTTAAATGCAGCACTTCTTCTGTACTGTGACTGCAAACCTCAAAAACAAAAAGCCAAAAAATTGTGATATGTATTATGAAAATGTCTTTAGATATCAGGACACTGGTCACCGCCACCACCAGGCAGATATGAAGGCATGGCAAAGAGCCATATTCTCGAGTGAAGAGATGTCAGATAATACGCACACATCAGAAGCCGCATCATCAGAGCAGAGTCCTTAGGAGTTACTCAACAGCAATCAGCAGCCACCAGTCACCAGTCACACTCACACACACACACACATACACAAACGCACAGTTTCAGAAAAGCTGAATCAGCAACATGCCCTCTCTCTTCCTCATTTAGCGTTCATTATAGACCGGTTAATGTTTTACACAGAGACACTTATGCAATACAGTAACACAGACAAAATCATGTGAAGTACAGTCTCTTTCTTTCACACTGTCCCAAACTCAGTCACATACCCACTCTCACACATTCAGGCCCATCTGAATGACTGCATTTATACAGGGCCAACACACAGGCCCAAATTTCACTGGTTTAAAAAAAAGTTACTCAATGCCATTTCAGCCCATATTCTGTGAAGAGCTGCACATACAAAACATACTATCAATGAAGGTCAAAAACAATGATTACTTCTATAATCCATTACTCTGTCAACTATTATTTGATAAATCAACTAATCAAACCAAATGCCTGCTGTCGTTTCCTTTCACTTCACCACAAGTTCCTTTGGTATGACAAGCGATGTATTCTTTTATGGTGCAACAACACAACAAAGTCATATCGCTCCCGACACTTTCTGTATTACAATTTGCCAGAATGATAGCAAGTATCATACAAATGTTGTAAAGCATTATAGAGCATATTTGTTTATAATTAAACCACAGCTTGACTTTGTACTATACTGCCGGTGTTCCTCTGGGTTAACCCATTGGCCTATTTTGGTTTCTGCAGATATTTAAAATTAAACAACACATTTTCTTTGTACTATACTGCCAGTGTTCCCCTGGGTTAATCTGTTGGCCCATTTCTGTTCTGCAGACATTTCAAATTAAACAACACATTTACTTTATACTATACTGCCGGTGTTCCCCTGGGTTAAACTGTCGGCCCATTTTTGTTCAGCAGGCACTCCAACTCAAAAAAGTCTCTAATCAATTTAGGATTTTCGATACACAACCCTCACTCCTTTATCGTCATATATTAAAATCCTGTGCATTCGGTTATATAAGGTTCCCAATTCCAGTTCAGGGGGGCCCTATATGCCCTGCACATTTTTAGGTTATTTCTTCTCTAACTAACGTGAGTCTGCCCATGAAATACTTAGTAATTAACCAGTGAGCCATATGAAAGTGTGTTACAAGACATTTTTTTATTCATTTAAAAGAAACTTCTATTACACATGTGTTTTGGGTCAACAGGTTTGCTCCTGTTTTTGAAAGCACAAGGACTTGAAATTATTATAGATGGTGATCTATCCTATATTGGGTATCGCTAACAGGCTGATATTGGACATTAGAGGACACAAAAAAATTAATCTAATCCGATGCGTCACAAAATCTAGACAGAAATAGCTCAGAACTGCAAAGTAAGTCATGCTATAACATCAGCAACCACAAGGTAATGCCACATGATAGTAAGTGTGGGATACAGTGTTTGAGTACTTCCAGCATAGTTTATATATAGACATATACTGCAGTTTATAGCTTAAACCTTGCGAAAGAAAAACATGTCAAATTATTACAAATTGTTCAAGGTATCAGTGTCGTTCTGGAAAAGAAAATTTTAGCATTTCATCTCTATAATCAATCATGTGATGAAGTTAAAAGAGTAAAATGTAAACAAAGTCATTCAGAGTGGTTTCATTTGAAAAGCTCTGTTTTAGGAAAATTTACTGAGCCAGACCTGGTTACAGTGGTTGTGACAGGAACCAGACATCTGGAGAGTTTAATGAATCTAAAAGCTCCCTCACACAAAGCTATTACACGAAATAATTAACATGCTGCCTGATGCCTGAGAGACTGTTTTACAATAGTTTTGAGAGAACGTTTTGATCCAGAGCATATTATTTGAAATTCATAGGCGAAAGGTACTTACAAGCCAAAGTAGTCCCTAAAGAAAACTTATTTTTCAGGTTTTCCACTATCTTACCATTCTCAACACTGAGGTGTAGGCTCATTGCTCATTTTGGACAGTTAATATAATGGCTATATTTGTGTTATAGACCCTGGTTCCTTTCACCACCACTGTAACGAATCAGTACAATAAACCATTTTCACATCAAACCACTCTGAATGACTGTTTACATCACAACGACAGAATTATGTTTAAAATCGGTGGATTTCCTTTTGAAGCAGATTAACTATGTACAGGATAATGAAACAGGCTATGAAATTGCCTGTGTAAATGCAGCCTTTGCAGCTGTACTACATCACGCTAAGCCAAAGAGTCCAGTTCCTACACTGAAACCGGCACTTTTGGGAAACTGGACCTACAGTTATTATTCCCCGACACTGCCAGGCTGTTTCTAGCCTTTTGCTTTCATAGGGCACAATTATGCGTCCAGTCATCCTGAATCTGAATTATTCAACAGAAAATAAGTTCCACTATGTGGAAAACTTCACACTAACAGTGCTGATGTAACACCCAAAAAAACTGACAACTTCAGCATATTCCCTTCTAACCAGCACTGGTGCTATTAGCACAAATATCTGACTCAGAGGCACAAAGAAGGCACCATTCTGGAAAAAAGGAGTGACAGAGATGTGCTTAGTCACTTCCATGGTATGTCACTGGACACAGGCATCTAGTACCTGTGATTTGACATGTATGTAAACAAGATTTCTGCTCGACAAATGCAAAAGCTGATGATAGCTCAGTGGTATATTCAAAGCCTCCTGTGAAACATCCTATGGCAAGCTCCGGGTTTTCAAATAATGAACAGAGGAGAGAGAGAGAAAGAATGAGAGAGAGAGTGACAGAGAGCGTGTTACATGGTCTTCATGACATTGCATGGCTTCTCTCTGCCTTTCCTTCCAGTTTGCCCTGAGCTGGTGCTGATGCTGAGCCATACTGCCTCCAACGCCACAGAAACGCATCCCTCACCATGGCAACCCACTCCAGCATCACTGAGGTGCCCCTGTGAATATTAACAGGTATGCACAGCGATCTCACACAGAGCAATGCCAATTACTGAAGGACCAGAAAGTCTCGGCTTACGAAATCTCCAGCAAAAATGTTTTTAATGCCGCATTTCTCCATATGTGTGATGTAAAAACAATAAATCATGACTTAACCTTCCCACAGATGCTACAAGGCCTGTCTGAACACAACATTTCTGGTAACTGTTCCTAAAATACACATTCCTGTAGCTGTATCATCCTCAAATGAGAGGCCAAGAGCTGCATGAGCTAGCAAAGATGATAAAAAAAGAGAGAGGTTGTCTGCTCACGGCGCTGCTCTATGTGACCGGAATTTGCAATGAACTCAGGCGTTCGAGCACAAACCTCCTTTTCATCGAAACGAGGCGGCTATTCAAACAGCTGTCTCTGACTTGCAAACATAGCTAGTATTATGCAGGGAATGCAAACCTAAGTCTAATAGTGTAGTTGTTACATTCAGCCTCCTTTGACAACACCAGAGTCCAGATCCTACATCTTTCTTGCATTTTATTTTTCCCCCCGGGGTCCACTTGTGATGTTTGAGCAGTCTTACACTCCAAAAATATCATGACACAACCTCTCTTTATCCCTATGAATTAAACAGGCCTCTTTTTGTTACTGCGCCTTTAACACTGATGTATGTAAATAAGCTCCATTCTGACTGGCTGCTCTGAATCATGCCTCCTTTAAAAAGGAGTCCAGGATGAAACACTCCTTGTAACTTCAATGCAAGTGGGCGGAGCTAAACTGCTGTAGGCTAAACAGGTAGATAGATGGAAAAGTGTTGGCTTTTGCAGCAACACAAAAGCAATGAATTCGAATTGGGAGTGTATGGACTTGCAAGTGAACAACATGTTTGAAACTTTAACATTTACATATTATATTTTAGACTCTTATTTCAAGACAGCATGGAAAATTTGTTTTTTCTGCGATATGGGTCCGTTAAAAAGGTACAGACCTATAAACAACAAACAACCATTTGTGTCAAAAATGTCAGCTGATTTTTATAGTGTGTCTAAATTTCATGAACAACAGACCAATAGATATGGTGACTTGGAATGAAATACTGTTGCGTTAACTTACATTTACAGACAAGAATACTTTTTGCTTCTCCCGTACAGTTACTTTTTTTTTTTTTGGAGGAAACGCAAGATTTGGTTCCAACATCTACAACGAGTTTTCCTCTAAATTAGAAAAGATATGAGCTAATTTCAGCATTTATCCAGCAATACAAATGAAAACTCCTGCATGCTTTAGTGTGCTAAGAAAATTGTGTTGAATGCTAAGCTTTCTGGCATAATGCATTCTGCATTTAAAGCTAAAAACTAAAGACGTCCTGGCTCAGAAGAATTTATCCTCACTCTAATAAAATAAAATAAAATAAAATGTAAAAAAAACAGGGATCGTCAAGGAGTCCTTAATAAAAAGCAATGGTTCTATTTAGAATGAGTGCTATATAGAACCATTAAAAGCTTAAATGGATCTCTATATGGTGAAATGGAATTTAAATCTTGCTTCTAACCCTGGCCCTAGTCCTTTTTGTGCATGCTGATTTTATGTGACTACAAAAAAAAAATCAATAAAAAGTGATTAGCAAAAATAAATAAGTAAAAACAAAAAACCATATGCAACACATTCTCCATCAATCTGAAGAACTATTTCCATGCAAAGAACAACTTAAGCATGAAATGGTTGTGTATACAGGTCATGGTTCTACATAGAACAATTCCCTTTACTAACGAACCCTTGAAGAACCCTCTTGAAGAGTGTAGTTAATATGATTAGCTAGCTAATGTGAAGGAGAAATGACAACAAATTTGCTGGAATTTGTGAGCAAAAACGCGTATAATAACCACCTTAACATCCAAAAGAGTCTTCCCATTGATTCCAACACAGACAAGCAACCACAACCACAACCACAACTCAAAATCAAATCGCCAAAGGCGACAAATCAGAAAGACCTGCTTATAACACAGGTGACCAGACGGCAGAGCCAAATTATACAGCGTTAACCGGCTCTCCCCATCCAGGTGTAAATTAAAGATTGACAAGTGTGTAAAATAAGTCTAATATGTGCAGTAGCCCCTGGTAGTTTAGCTTACTAGCCAGCTAGGCTAATTAGCTACTCTCGTTTCCAGGTCAAAGCTGATTTGTCCCCGAAGCTACCTGGTTAGCGTTGGTCGGTTTGAAACAGACTTAAAGTGTTTTCTTTATTTGTATGTGGTAAGAATGGAGTTCGCCGGCTTTTTTCCAGTTGTATGTGAGGTGAGTTAGCCGTTAGCTGGGTTACGAGGTTGAAATTAGCTTCCAGTTCGCCAGCTTCTTGTTTGAATTTTCCTGTTCCACCTTAAATGGTGCAGCATTTACATTCTGGCGCCAGGTAGACTTAAGGCGGAATGGGAAAACTGGACCAAGAAGCTGACTTCAGCTTCATAGCTAGGTTAATTAACCTACAAGACAGCGGTGCTGTGTGAAGCGGCGAATTAGCCGTTAGCTTGCTAGGTTAGCTAACTCACACTTCCAGGATCCTGTCTCCCTTGGAGATCCCGGCTCTGTCCGCCGCGCCGCCCGGCAGCACGGCGCTGACGTGCTGCAGCGGCGCGTACAGCTCCCCGTTGATGCTGCGCAGCTGCCCGCCTTCGCTCACTTGCCCGCGAACGTTGAAGCCGTAGCCGGAGTCCGACTTGACGATGCGGACGAGCCGCGGGCCCGAGGCGACGGTGGCGGCCGGCAGCGGCGGTGCGTGGCCGCCGGTGACAGGAGCGTCGTTACAGGAGGAACCGGAGCCGCCACAGCCGCCGCGAGAGGACGAGTGGATCACCGACGGGGCGGCGGAGCGAATGTCGTCTCCATCCACAACATCTGCCATTTTATTGTAAAGATTATAACTTTAAAAATGATGTATCTCCGTTCGCCTCCGTTTTTTTTAAGCGCCGTAGTCACACATCGGCTGTCCGCCAGTGTCAGGTCTGAGACGGGAGAAACCGACGGCACGAAACCAAACCGCCCCCATCACGAGGCAGCGGCTCGCTATGTTTTCGCCCTGAGAGCGTTTCCTCCCTGCGTAACGACAACAAAATAAAAGTTGCATGACGGGACTTGTAGTCCAAACTGGCGCTGAATTTTAGCCTAAAGCCAGAGGAGAGGGTCGAAACCACAACGGAAAACAGTGCGTGTGTCTTAATTATACCTTCATAAATTTGTTTAGTAAGACGTTATTTTGACTTAACATCTATTTTTTGTGTAATATTATGTCCTTAATTTTATTTTCGACTGTCATTAAAATGCAGTTAAACCAAAGATTATATAAGAGCAAAATGCTCTCTGGTAAAACTTCAGTATCACTGCAGTTTAACGGAGTACAACATTTTAAGTTGTAGATCATTGTGCTACAACTGTAGATACATTTAAAAAAACAGTGAAGTATTCAGACCTTATTCATATGTGTACAGTGATCATGTTATGATTTATTTAAACTCAAGGTAAGCCCAAAGTAAGAAGCTGAACATGTACAAAATAATCATTTATAGCATATTTTCGTGTTGCACATTTTCATATCACTACCAATACGGAGTTTTAGCCCATAGGCGGGGCGTCGTTTTAGCCACGCACCCGCATTTTACAGCAGGAGGTAGGACTACATCCCTGTCCCTCATGGCCACATGGTGAGGAGTTAGATCTCACTGTTTTGAAGCAATATGTGTCCCAAAGTCTGAAAATCAGTGTGTAACATTAAGAATTGTTGTTATCAAAACACAGATGTTGGGTAGTTAAGCACATGTCTTTGAGTTTTAATGACAAATATTATGATTTTATGTGTGTACAGCTGTTCAAAGCTGTAGCATTTTTTAATTCTTCTCAAAATTATCTAAAATTGCCACCACCAAAACAGTTTCAGAGGTGTTATTACTGTTTTATTATTGATAAAATGTAATGTCTAATTGTTTGTTTTAATAAGATAAACACAATTAAGGTATAGGGATTTTAGTCTAAAGCCAAAGAAAATAAAGTCCAAAAGTGTTTTCAACTCTGACTTTAAACAAATTTGGTAGAATGGTCCATATAGTCGTTTTTAAATTAAACTCACTTGTCTAATTTGTGCATGATGTGGTCTTTTAATGGTGAGAAAATTGCTTCTACAATATCTTTTTATTTAATAATAATGTGTAAACTTCTAATCTGTTTTTTGAAACTTTTACCTTTACTTTATTACATTTTAAATTAAACATCCTATTTTTCACTCCATTACATTCTGCACAACTAAATATGATTCACCTTTAAATTGGAGCTAACCAATCATAGCGCACCTTAAACTAAACCCCTCTCTGATTGTCCAGTTGTAGTTATGCTGCATTTGAGCGGGAAATACCACTTTTCCTAGTTTTCCTACATTTAAAGTTCATAAGTAAATGTCCATTTCTAGTCCAAATCATCTGTAGTTTATTCTCCTTCATAATATACTGTAACAGCAGGCCGCGACCTGAGGGAGGCGCTGCTGCTCTGATGCAGCGCTGCCTCTGCTGTACTACTAGAGATTGACTGACGTTCGGCCAATCATATCAGACCTCACACGTTGTAAGCCAATCATGTCAGCCCTGGGGGAGGGGCTCTGTTTATGCCATGTAAAGTAAACCACAACCGAGCTGAGGAGAAGATTTTGGCTGAAAGCTCACTGAAGTGAACATTACACCTCATTCAAAACCAACAATAAACAGTGTTAAACAGAGTGAATATATCCATTTGTGGCAAATCGTGGTCAGTACAGGTGGATATCTGTGTTGCTTAACTCTAGCTAACTTCAGTTATCTCTGGGTTTAAGCGAGGTAAAAAAGAGGCTAGGCTAACGCTAACATCAGCTAAGTAGCTCTGCCTGTTCGCCGGAGTGTAGTTCAAGTTTTCCCGCTGCGAGGCGCCAAAATGAAACTGAATGAAACCGCTGCAGCATTTAAGGTGGAAAATTAAAAAAAATAAGCTGATTCAGCCTTTGTGTTAAAAGATCATCATAACCCAGTTTGATATCCCTCAATTCCTCAACCTGTAGATGGAAATTAGGAGGCAGCAGCTCCATCGAAGGCCAGTCAGGTGAGATTTTTACCAGTTAATACAAAAAAGTAATTGACTGATTATAATTTCTCTGAGTTCTTGTAAATCTGAGTTTAATAAAATTTATTTTATTACTAAACACAGGAGGAGAGGGAGAGGAAGAAGCTGAAGGAGACTGACAGGACCGAAGGAGCAGATCTGATGGAGGGTAGTGATGAAGAAAGCGAGGGAGAGTTGTTTAAGCTTCTGTTAAATTAAAACTGAATTTAATTTAACTTAACTGGAAGAATTTAATATTTGTCACCATGACCATGAAATTCTGTTACCTGGGTTATTAAACATGACCACAGAGCAAAATCACACTCTTTCTGGCTGCACCAACTGAGACTGAACTGATCGGTAATCTGTGTGTTTGAATAATATATTTAGGACGTTGCAGCTTATCTAAGAGAGAGGAGACAGCATTGCTTGATTTCAGTACCTTTTCTTGATCTGTGCCTGTTGTAAGTGGATGGATATCGTGTTTGTTATAGTAGTTCTGTGCTTAATACAAACTATGAAGAGACAGATCTACTGTTTTGACTAAATACCAATTTTTTAATATACTTAATAGGCTGATGTACTTAACATTTTTTTGCTCTAAAAGTGCACTCTAAACATTTTGAGGGCCATTAAAAAAATTCTCATTGGGGACCATGTCCCCAGACCCCGCTAGTACAGGCTTAGCCCCCTTATCCATGAACCTCTAGTGACACCCCTGCCTTTAATGGTTTACAGGAGTGAGAAATGCTAAACTTGTAGTGAATGTGAAAAAATATATACCCGATGCTCTTCTGTTAGATCTGTGTGCTTTTTAATACAGCAAGGAGGAAGCATGATGCAAAGACGCAGGCAGTTTTCAAAATGGAGCTACAACAAAAACAAACCTGTGTGAACAGTGCCGGCTCTACCTAATAAACGACATGAGCAGCTGCCCCCTAAGGACCCCCTAACATCTTCTGGGTTATTACTGTACCATTATGCTGTCTAAAGAATTAGTTTTAGATGAGGAGGTGGGCCAATATGATTAGTACTAGAGGTTCTCAGTCATTATAGTCCTATCCGAATGCACCATGTCAGTCTTTTTTACTGACAGTGCATTAGGCACTGTGTGAACTCAACAAATTGCCTAATGAACGAACCTAGATAATGAAGCTGGTTCAACTTAGACATGTTGATTGATTTTCCTTGTTTTAAAACAGCGAGTGCTTTTACATGCATTTAATAATCTGATCATAATCGAATTTCTGAAGTTATCAGATTATTCAAATGGTCATGTAAACACCATACTCCGATCTAGAAATCCGATTAAGAAATCTGATACAGAGAGCTGAATTTTAGCTCAGTTATCCGATTTCTCAGTGCATGTAAACTCTTACTCTGATTTCTATCGGATTTCTCAGTCTGCGCAGGCACGAGATGTCGCGAGATGCAGCAAAACACTTTTGGAACGGTGCTGAACCCAAACACGAAATAAAAGATTTAAATATTCTTCATCTTCTACATGATGTGTGTTCATATTTTCAGCTAAAGTGGCTCAAAATTTTGAGTTTTACATTCGTTTTACGTCACGTCTTCTTCTGTGAGTTTATTGGCTGGTTGCAAAGCAGAAATCTGATTATTAAACTTTTGGACTACATAAGTCAGGTAGACCCAGAGTTTAATAATAGTGGTATATCTCCAGGACCAGGATTGGGCACCCCTGTTTTAAACAGTCTGTTTTTTTGTTTTTGATTTACAGTATTCAGTATTTTCCCATTGAGACATTCCAAAACGTTTCCAATTCTTTTAGAAATGCGACCATTAGAATAGCAAAAATAGTTCAAATGGCCGTTCCTTGTTTGGATGAAAAGAAACAGATTTTACCGTTTGGTTTCCCATGCTATGGACTGCAAAAGAACTCTTAAGACAACCACAAGATGGAGACATTTACCTGAATAGTTTACACAAAGTAGTCTGGGCTGGGTTTCCTGAAAGCATCTTAGTCACAAAGACTTAAAGGGTAGAAAGTACTTAAAGGGCAGAACAAGCATCACAGTGAACACTACCAGTAAGATGATCGTAACAAGATGTTCTGGGAAATTGATGCCTGGTCTTGAATTGAGCATGTAGTACATAAACTGAAAGCCCTAAGTCAATGAAAGAGTCATAAACAGCCTCCTTTTAGACTCAGTTTAGAGCTAATGAACTTGTGAATGTTCAGAATGCTGCATTCACTGAGCTGAGCATAATAAACGATTGAGTGTGCATGTGTTTTGCACAGGAATCCTTGCCTGCGTACCAGAAGGCTGCCAGTACACTTTACTCTTGAATAAATTGTGCTGCAAATGGCCTGGCATCAGGCTAAGATCATCCTACTTGAATTACAGAAACAGAGAGAGAGAGAAAGAGAGAGACCTGGGCACCGGCTGCCTGATTTAATCAGCGTGCTTGATATTATGCCTTGGCAAATCTAGAGATTCATTTTATGAAGAAAATGTACAGTATATAGCCCATTATGTTGTATGGAAACAATGTTATAGTTACAAAACATACCATTCACTTCCCAGGCTGTACTGCTCGTATATGGCAGGGGTCGGCAACATGGGGCTCTTTTACTGCCCTGTTGTGGCCACACAGCAAAATGAGATTTTAGGTAAAAATAAAATAATCCTCCTTTGCAGTTAAATAAAGCTCTGCTGATCGTTTTAACACAGTTTCATCAATAAATGGTCTTAAACGCTGGATTTAATGTAGTCTGTAACTGCTAATTCACCCTTTAACCCTGAAGATTGGCGCACAGACTGCTGGTCACCATAGCAACACAGACAACAATCTTGCGTAGCTAGTAGCTAACGAGAAGGCAAAGAGAAAGATTTAAGATCAACAACGATAATTTGGAGATGAACAGACTTACTCGCGTTTATAATCACTCCAGCTGGTTTCGTGATACATTAAATCTGCAGCGAGAAACTGTCAAACACAAAAAGTCGTGAAGCTAAAGTCAGCTTCTCATTCGCCAGCTTCTTATTTGAATCTTCCCGTTCCCGTTAAGCCTTGTAAACAGTCAAATGCTGAGACATTTTGTAAGAAACTATTCCATTTTTGTGGAAAAGTGTCCTGCTGGAGATGTGAGAAAAGTGGTTATAGCTGAGCTAAAGCTTAAAGCAGAGCAAAGTCTGGTTTTTCGTTTATATTATGTTTCTTAGTCTATGCTAGGACATTAGTACATACTGAGATATATTTACAGCCAAGATGGTAAAATGGACATTACATGTTGTGGCTCCCAAGGTGGTTTGATTTTTGTTAAAAGGACAAAATGGCTCTTGCTAACATTTGGGTTGCCATCCCCTGATATATGGAAACAAAGCTGCAAATGCAAAATAAACCTTGTACTGATGAAGATGACAATAGCAGATACTTCACTTACATCCTTGGAAGACACATCCTTCACCAAGTTTTGACTGAGTTCTCTTTGAATACTCTAATTCGCACGCAATCATCAGATTCATCTACTCGGGGAAGGGGTCCGAAGCCAGGTTACAAAATGTTCTTCTGCAAATTGTGGCAATAACGTATTTCCGTCTCCAAATCCCCAAAACTTAAATAATATAACTTAATACTGCTTTCTTACATGAAATGACACAAATATAAGGGGACCTCAGGGGGCAAATAAAATGCAGAAAAAATGTGTGACGTGAGCCTTTTAATAGTTGCTAATAGGGACGATAAGGAACTCGAGAAGCATTAAAGTTGGCCAAAGTTAAAATATCCCCCCAGTTTAGTTGTGTCATTGTGCAGTTCCACCCACTAGCTAGCTGTCCTCCTATCACACGATGCTACCAAGCTAGGAGGGTGAAGAATAGCATGTGCTTCCTCTGAGATACATGAAGCACCACAGCAACTTTTCAAATTGTTGATAAGGCAACGTCAATGATCAGTTCCAAAAGGATCATACAGGGAAAAACAAGGAGCAGATTTTTCAATAGCAACAAACTGCAACACACTGTGAGGCTAGTCTGAGTTAGCTTATTAGCTAGCTAATCAAACAAACTGAAACCCTTATTTGAGAAGTTGCATTGTAGAATATATAGAGGTTTTTAATAATTGCTACATCTGTTTTAAGCATGGTGCACTGCTCTTCTTTTTATTGTTGTTGGTTATGTAGCCCTTAGCTTACTAACTAAGACTCTGCTGAAAAAACAGCTTGGATCAGGATGAAAACTGGTTTTGAGCTGGACTGGTGCTGGTTTGGCTGGTCAATCAGCATGAGGATACTGAGTGACCAGCCAAACCAGCACCAGTCCAGCTCAAAACCAGTTTTCATCCTGATCCAAGCTGTTTTTTCAGCAGAGTCTTAGTTAGTAAGCTAAGGGCTACATAACCAACAACAATAAACATACCAGTATCCAAAACACAACATATTGTAGGCATGTTCTGAAAATGGTTTCTAGCATTTATTCATTTATTCTGACAAGGACTCTTATAATGAAAGTGAGACTAGCCTTCTTTGTTTGGGTTTTGCTTAGTTTAGGAAGTAGTGTGCCATTTTATCACTGGCAGCTGTGTAGGCAAAACGTAGGTAGGTCTAGAGCGAATCCTATTGTGGCATGGCTGATGCCAACTTAAGCCATCAATGAAGTACAACGATTTGTGCAGTAAACTGCCTTTTTTATAGTGTATAACACTACAATATGCCATATTTCAAGCAGTGTAGCAAGTTAGCAGAATAAACTTAAGGATGGTACGAAGGGTAAGTTGGTGTGAAGGGCTTATTAAAACATTTACATGCTATCTGTCACTGAATAGATTTGCATTCATGTGCACACCCCTCTTAATTGAGTTTTGGTGTTTCTGCCACTCGTGTATAAAATCAAGCAAATAGCCATGCCATCTCCATAGACAAACACTGTCAGTAAAATGGGGTCATACTGAAGAACTCAAGTGAATGAATGCAATTGTGGAACTGTCAGAGGACACAACACAAGTCATTTAATGAAATTCTGCTCTGCTAGATCTGCCCCAGTCAATTGTAAGTGCTCTCATTGTGAAATGGAAGCATCTAGGAGCAGCAACAGCTCAGCCGCAAAGCAGTAGATTCCTTAAACTCACAGGAGTGCTGCTGAGTGCTAAAGTGCGTAGTGCATCAAAAACAACTATCTATGGTGGCATTCTGTTGCATTACTCACTACTGCCTTTGGAAGTAGCATCATCACAAAAACTGTGCCTCGGGAGCTTCATAAAATGGGTTTCCATGGCTGAGCAGCTGCACACAAGCCTAAGACAACTATGCGCAATGCCAAGCGTTGGATGGAATGGTGTAAGGTATGTCGCCACTGGAGTCTGGAGCAGTGAGAACATGTTCTCTGGAGTGACGACTCACTATCGACGACTCACTATCTGGCAATCTGGGTTTGCCGGCTGCCAGAAGAATGCTACCTACCGGAATGTATGGTGCCAACAGTAAAGTTTGGTGGAGGAAGGATAATGGTCTGGGGCTGTTCCAGGGTTTGGGCTCAGGCCTGAATTTCAAGTGGAGGTTAATGTTAATGCAACAGGATTCAAACACATTTAAGACAATGATTTGCTCCCAACTTTGTGGCAGCAGTTTGGGGAAGACCCTTTCCTGCTACAGCGTGACTGAGCCCCTGTGCACTAAGCGAGCTCCATAAAGACACAGATTGGCGAGTTTAGTGTGGAGAATCTCCAGTGGCCTGCACAGGACCCTGCCCTCAACCCTGTTGAACATCATTTATTGCGAGCCAGGGCCTCTCATCCAACATCAGTACCTGACCACAGTAATACTCTTTTGAATGGGCACAAATTCCCACAAACAGACTCCAAAATCTTGTGGAAAGCCTTCCCAGAAGAGTGGAGGCTGTTATAGCCACAAAGGATGGCCAACTCTATATTAATGTCCCTGGTTTTGGAACTGAATGTCTAACAAGCTCATATAGGTGTGACGGTCAAGTGTCTATATACTTTTGGCCATATAATGCACATCGTGCATATCTCAGCATACGAAATGAAGTTTGCTAGACTCTTTTCTTCATTTTTTGGTTCAAAAATACATGCTAAAGCTCCAAAATTAGAGGTGTAAGCAACTGGAAAGCAAAACAGGTTCTGAACCCACAGAACTGAAATGAAACCTAAAAAAAAGGAATTGGGACTCAACGTGAATGGCTAAAAGGGAACAGATTAAAAAGTAGATTACTTTTCACATAAAAGTAATTGAACAAAAATAAGAGTATCATTTGAAAAAGTCTAGCATGACACCGCATAAACCAAGTTAACGCCTCTTTCTCTCAACTTGCACATGTGTAATACCTCCCGCAGGCTCTCTTTTTTTGCACAAGTTAATCTCCTGGCTTTGCGAAACAGCTACGGTTTTTATTGCTTTCTCCTGAGTACAGAACCTTCTTTATTCTCTCTCTCTCTCTCTCTCTAGCTCTCTCACACACACACACGCAGCATGTAATACTCTTATGGCAAAATGCCTTATTAGCAAGGTCCAGTTTAAAAATTGAAATATTTATATTGTTTGTATCGAACTTCGATGTTGAGTTGACTGATTCATCTGTAAAACAACTAAAATGAATGATATAGTCATATTTGGCCATTCTTAGTTGACAACTGACATTAAAATCAGTCAGTAAAGCACCACTTAAGTGGGAGTTCTTTTAATTTTGAACATTTATGCAAAAAATGTATGAACAAAGTCGTTTGGAGTGTGCATTGTACAGTCAGAATTGTTTACAGTAATGGTGATAGGAACCAGACATCCAAAGAGTTCAATGCCTCTGAAAGCTCCCTCACAGAAAGCTGTTGGTTACAAATACATTCCTTCATGCCTAAGACATTGTTTTACAATAGTTTTGACAAAAGATTTTGGCCTAAAACTCGTTTTTAAAGTCCATTAATGTTGGAAAGGTACATGTAAGTTCACTGGTAGTTTTGGATAGTGAATAAAATGGCTACATTTGTGTTGTAGACATTGCGACCTCTGGTTCCATTCAGCACTGTAAAAAAGTCTGTACGTTTTTTGTACCATGCACAGTTTTGCATCAAAACACAGTGAATGACTTTGTTTACACCACAACCATTAAATTATGCAGACATTTTGAAAATTTGGGAGACTAGCGGAATCTGTTACATTTTTACTGTATAAAATTATAGTAACAAGAATTTTCATTTTCATATTAGTGGGACCCCAATTTTCCATGTTTATATTGAAGTTTGCCATTAAGATTCTTCTTGACTGCCAGTGTATAATTGGTGCGTTCAGTCATCAACCCCAAAAAAAAACACACACACAGACCCACATGCACACGGAATTACCAGAAAACACCGGTTCTGTTAACACATATTAAAATAGTTTATTTCAGACCTGTTCATTGTACAGAATGAGAAAGCATTTCTGTTTACGATCAAGCAAAAATGTTTTACATTTTTAATGAGAGTATATATATATGCATGTTTGCGGCTAGTCTGTGTCCCTCTCAACTATTTCTTTTGGTCTTTGAAGAATTCGTTGCAGAGCATGGTGAGGCAGGCCACCAGGGTGACATACTCCTGGAAGTCCACGGTTCCGTCAGCATTGGCGTCCAGGTCCTTAAAGATCTTATCCAGTGCTTTCTGGTCTGTGGATTTCTGTCAGATAAAACACAAACCAAAGGCAGCACATGTTGATTCCACCTTCCTGCATGTAAGTCCTGCTGAACTGTACAGACTTTAAGGCCTTCAGTATACTAGTCAAAACATGTTTGGTGCCCAGCGTTTGCTTCTGCACTGGAGCTAAGAGGCTAATGTCACTAACGAATAATGGAAACGCATGAGCACCAGTTAGCACTGTGCAAACTGCACGCATAAGCCCTTCTTGCTTATCTATATGTTGTCTATAAAAATGGAAAAAAAGAAGTGTGTTTTCGCTGAAAACAGTGGCAGTAGCTCTTTTTTCCTTGTACTTTGTATGCTATATCGCTCAAATATGTAAATTGACCAATCATTAACATTGTTACACCAGTGCCAAAAACTAAAAAGCAACTACATTTGGGGTAAATTTGATTTACAGCTACACATTAAACATTGATTCTATGCTAAATTTGGCTTTCTGGATGTGAGATGGAGCTACTATACAGCTTATATAGATTGTCAAGTGACTCTCACCCCGAAAATGTCTCCAAGCTCATTAGTGAGCAGGTCCTTCAGCTCCCCCTTGCTCAGAGTGTACTTGTCTCCCTCCTTTCCGGAATAATTATGGAAGGCCGAAATCAGAAGTGCCATGGCACTCTGCACCTGGCTTGGCTTGGACATGGTGGCTTCTGGAGCAGAAAGGAAACGGTACATTTCATTTATATTTCATTATAGGTCAAAAACCTTCATTTCACTTTTGTGCATGCGTTTGCTTTACATATTGCAAATTGTACCATATTTTCACAGTGCAAGACAACTTGAGAAGATTATGGAACATTTTGTGGTAAATGCACACCAGAGTGCATATAATAATTTAGTGATTAAGAGCAATACAGTTCAGTATTATGGGTAAAAATTACAAGTGCATCCATTTATAGAAAGAGACATTTTGCATAGCTCACATTTAATTTGGTGCCACATGGATGCAAAGCAGAGAAATGAACCAAGACACCCCACACTGACTAATAGCGCGCCACACCCTGCTCTAGCCTAGAGGAAGTTAAGGGTATTCTTCCCTGTGTGCCGTGATAGGAGGAATCACCCAAAAGGAAGTGGAGAGAGAGAGAGCGCGAAAGAAAGAAAGAGGGGAGGAGAGAAGGAGAAGAAAGGACGAAAGTTGGGGGGAGAAGAGGAGTGGTGAAGTAAATGACCGGTTTACACACAAGCAGATTATGGCCAACGCCCTTCGCTCTGCTCTGTAATTAAGTCATTGGGTTAACGAATGAAGAACACATTTGCAGACAAAGCCTCCCACTTCTCACGTTCTCTGGCCTTCGCAGACCCACAGGTTTGACCTGAACGATCTCCTAGATGGAGAGCTAAATATGTGTACATGCTTTTACACATAAACAAAATGCATTCCATCAAGACGATTATGGTCATAAGTGGACAAAACTGTTAATACCGAAAAGACAAGTCTGTGGATCGCTTTTATTCGGTGAAGATGGATGCAGCTGCATTTCAGTGACCACCGGAAGGAAATTTCTGGTCTCATAGCTTTGAGGGTGAGAGGAGATGAGGAAGGAGCAGAATGGAAAAAAACAGGGAGGAGTGTGCTTGCGAGAGAGAGTTTACAAGTCCTACGCAGCTTCTTGGCTCGCCGTGCAGAGTGAATGAAACAAGCACTGAAAGAGGTTGTGGAGCCAGAGAGAATAACTGCGCGATCCTGAAGAGGAATGCCCTTTAAGAAAACACCAACAGTTTGCTGCGGTAACAGTCGAGTAGATCCCCAGAAATGCTGCCAAAGTCTGCACCACCAGGTCAGGAACCAGCAGCTAAAACTTAAAATAGTTATGCTAACATTTGTTGCACTGTCACTCACTCTTTGTAGAGCGCTAACAACAAGTTTGACAATCTTTTTCCCCACTCACCTTAGGTTTGTCCGGAGACCTCAATGAGCAACGAGTAGGAGAGAGAAGGAGGGAGTGATGGAAGGAGGGATGGACCTGCTGTTATATGCACTAGCTGCCACACCCTCTGGCTATATCCGTTCTGCCCCTCTTAGCTCATGGTTAACTCCCTCCTCCTCGTCTTCTTTCTCTCTTCATGGCCTTTTATGCCTCCCTGAGTGTTGGAGGGTTATGGTAGCACTATAATTACCCCATAAGATGCTAAAACATCTCCAGCCTTTTGTCCTGCCTAGGATGCAGCATTGAATTTCACCCTCAAACTACCATAGAAACTCTGTTTGTTCCTTGTGCGAGTTGTGGTGTAACGTCACTTGCTTTTTGTAATCTTCCAAGCTTGCAAAGCTCAGTTTTCCTGAGGCCAGGGTGGCTCAAACAAACCACAGTCAAACTTTTATTGACAGCCTGGAGATGTAAACTGTGACCTACTGTTAATACCCTCCCCACGATTCGCTGGACGAGCGAGTTTAGCCAGGTTTTCTGAAGCAACTAAGACTTGTGCACACAGTAAGGCTAGGTGTGTCTGCATGTAGGACTGGGTAGTATTATAATAATCCACATATTCTCAAGAATAGACGGCAAATAGAACCACCTGCAAATTAAGCAAGTGAAAAGTACTGGCTCAAGTAGGTTATTGGAAGTTGGCAGGGCAATAAAGCTGAAACGAGTCCTTATCAGCAGCTACTACAGATATATTCTATAAAATATGCATGCTTATGCACTGTGGCCACTTTATTGGAAACTCCTACCTTGCAGTTCCACCTTGTTGGCATACACTTAGGCCATCTGCTGATAAGCATATTGTGTTAGCTATTCATCAGTGGTCAGTTTCTGACCACAGAGCTGCTCTCAGCTGGATATTTTTGGGTGACTGAGCCCATAACATGGCCAGTGAGTGGAACAAATGGTTTCTAACGAAGTGGCTAATAAGTGGAAAGACAAGGGGTTCCTAATAAAATGGCCAGAGAGTGGGAAGTACAAGGAGTTTCTAATAAAGTGGCCAGTGGGTGAGGTGCAAGAGATTTCTAATAAAGTGGCCAGTGAGAGGACGGACAATGGGTTCCTAATATAGTGACCAGTGGGCAAAGGACAAGGGGTTTATAATAATGTGGCCAGAGGGTGAAGGACAAGGGGCTTCTAATAAAGTGTCCAGAAAGTGGAAGAACAAGGTAGGTGTTTCTTATAATGAAGGAGCCAATGAGTGCAAAAGGACAAGGGTTTCTAATAAAGTGGCCAGAACATGGAAAGACAAGGTAGGTGTTTCTTATTATAAAGTAGCGAATGAGTGCAAAAGAAAAGAGGTGTCTAATAAAGTGGCCAAAAAGTGGAAGAACAAGGTAGGTGTTTCTTATAATGAAGTAGCCAGTGAGTGGAAAGGCCAAGGGGCTAACTGACCAATAAGTAGGGACACAGGGTGTCTAAGGAATGGCCAATGACTGGGTACAAGGGTTTTTTAATAAATGAAATGGCTGGTGGATGAAGGTCAAGGGGTTTCTAATAAATTGGCCAGTGAGTGTAAAGACAAGGGGTTTCTAATAAAGTGGCCAGAAAGTGAAATGTCAAGGTAGGTGTTTCTCAAAAAGAAGTAGCCAGTGAGTGGAAAGGCCAAGGGGTTTCTAATAAAGTGACCAGTGAGTGAAAAGACAAGGACTTTCTAATAAAGTGGCCAGTGAGTGGAAATACAAGGGAAGAGTTTATCTTATAAAGTTGACAGTGGGTGTATATTGTAATTGGTTATTGAGAAACCTCAAATAGCAACTCTGCACAGTATGTTTAGTTTATAAGCTGAGCTACTCCCTAAAATGAAGAACTTACAGGAGGTGAACTGTGAAGAGTGTTAGAAATATTGTTAGGTCACTTAGTTAAACAGCAAAATCATAAATCCTCACCGCAGGGCCGTGTCATTCAGCAGATAAAGCTAGCAAGGCACATTATGGGCAGGTGCGCTGAATGGTCATGCCGCGCTCTTATGTCTAGTGCAGAAAGATATACAGTACACACCCAAACTTCAGGGTTGAGCAACTCTGAGAAAAGTCTATACGTTATCTAGTGTCAGTAAAACTAAGCAGAAATTAGTTTGACATAAAATTTAATGTCCACAATGTTCCCTTTACCGCAAATGTAATTGCTAGCGGCTAACAGTAAAGGCACTATGGACTATTGTTATCTATGGAAATGGAGTGCAGACAAAATTCAGGCTTCAGAAACCACATAAGCAAGTCTGTTCAAGATTACTGAACAACGTTGGAGGCAGTGTGTGATGATTTCATTAGGCAGGGACCCTCTGGGCAAAAAAAGGTTCATGTGAATCACCGTTAGCTTAGCAAACCGCTAGAATGCCACAGGAACACTAGCAAAAGTTAGCATTGCTGTAGAGTTGTTTTTATTTTTATTTTTTCTTCTGACATTTATGCTTTGAACTGAAGGCCTAGCTCTATAATAGTCACGGTTTCAGCATATATTTTGCACTATAAGCTTCTGTTGCTTGTTAGCTACATTAGCCTCGTAGCACCAGTGCAAAATGAAGATACCAAATTTGGCTCACTGACTACAATTTTGGAAAAAAATGGTCTTTGAGAATAATTCCTCAAAATGAAATGTTCATACATTCAAATCCAAACTGGGGAGATACCATGTCTGCCTATGACGCATTGCGTGAACAGTCAGAGTTGAGTCAAACAAAGCTGTTGGTGATTTCACTGTCTGACAAGTGACTTAGCAATCATCCTTACAAAAAGGAAAAAGAAAAACATTAGTGTGTTTATTTCTAGGTAGTATAATGATGTATGGCGCCTTTACAGGCAAAAACAAACTTCCTGCGTATCATTTTTTAAAATTTTATTCGGACATGGGCTCTGTGCCCTTGTATTTTTGTGGAGGTGCTGCCAGTGTTGGCAGTACATAGTAGAATATTTAGGACGCCACTCACCACAACCGAAAGATGCACAACTTGTGAGAAATAAACATTAAACCTGCATTGAAATATGGTTTTGGATTAGTAGTAGCCGACCTGGTTGCCCTGGTTGTGGCAAAGCACAGATATGTCAACATGGTAAGCGTAGTTTTGCTTTTTTTTCCTTGTACATGCTCTTGAGTAATATCAGAAGGTCCTTCTCAGGCTAAAATCAAGTGTGTTAGAACAGGAAAACACAAAACTGCACAGTGCATCTGGAGCCTTGGGGCCCAAATGACTGGGTTTTTAAATTGTGCAGAATAAATTCAAGTCTGTTAAAGTCAACCTGGTGGTGCTGTATGTGGTGTTTTGTCCTTATTGTGGTAAAGCACAAATAAAGCACCTCACAGGCAAGTGGAACAGAGTATCAATTTGTGTGCTATGCAGAATGAAAAAGTAGTTCCCTTAATTGGTTTGTAGGGAGATACTAAATGCACCTGCTAGTTTAGGCAAACTGCAGTTAGTGAACTACATTATATGGCCAAAAACATGTGGGCAGCCATGCTAATTATTCAGCAAGAGTTCAGGTGTTTCAGCCACACCCATTGCTAATAGGTGTATAAAATTGACATAGACAGATATTGGCAATAGAATGGGTCGTCCTGAAAAATTCAGTGACTTTAAATATGTCATTGTCATAGGATGCCATCTGTGCCACAAGTCAGTTTGTGAAATTCCTGCCTTGCTAGATCTGCCACAGTCAACTGTAAGTGTATTTTAAAATGGTAGCACTAGGGGCAACAACAGCTCAGTCCCTCAGTTGCAGTGAAGGGTAATGTTAATGCCACAGCATACAAAGACATTTTAGACAATTACATGCTTCCAACTTTGTTGCTGCAGTTTGAAGAAGGCTATTTCCTGTTCCAGCATCACTGTGCCCCTGTGCACAAAGCGAGATCCATAAAGATGTGGTTTGATGAGCTTGGTGTGGAGGAACCTCAGTGACCTGCACAGAGCCCTGACCTCAACCCCCCTGAACACCTTCGGGATGAATTGGAACGTCAATTGCAAGCCGTTCCTTCTCGTCCTGACATCAATGCACTCTTGACTGAACGGGCACAAAGTCCCACAGATGCTCCAAAGTCCTGTGGAGTGCCTTGCCAGAAGAGTGGAGGCTGTTACAGCTGCAAAGGGAGTGACCAACTCCATATTAATGCCCATGGTTTTGGAATGGAATGTCCAACAAGCCTACATAAGTGTGACGGCTGTGTCCACATACTTTTGACCATATAGTACAGGTCACTAAAGGGCTGGATACCCAGAGCAGGGTTGAGACTAAGTCTAAACTAAACAGGATATTCATTGGTGAATGGTGAGTGCCAAGGCCTAGACTGAATCCATGTGCACAGAATCAGCGGTTGTTATACGCCTATGCAGTGTAGCACCTTGTTTGTTGTGCGGTTTGTTTTATTTCTTATGTAAAGGATTACAGTTTGCAAACCGATTATGTTTCAAACAAGAAATGCTAGCAATGATGGACTGGACTGGCAAGAAGCCAACAAGTGCAATATGGTTGGCGTGCAGCATGGTATGCTAATAGTTGTGGCCTATTAGCGTGCATGCATGAGCAATGTTGCACATTCATGGAAAGACACTACGGTAGTACAGATCATTTTGATCATATTAGTTCATATTTTGTGTCACTCTTTTTGCCAAAAGAAGAGCGGCCAGGACGCCCAGTGGTCACTGCAATGGAGCAGTCACTGGACGTTCTGCCTGGACATTAGTTTTCTGTAGTCCAGTCAAACCACACCAGTAGTTACATATTTGTCAAGTGCTTTTGGACAAAGCACAATTCTTAACATTTTTTTCATAACAGCTGACCCCAAACACCCCAAACACTATTTGCTTTGCAAAACAGTTTGCTGTTACGGAATGTTCTGACAAACTGATGTATTGTTCAAAACAAAACAAAACATGTGGCTCTTTCCTTAAACCTGTCCAGAATTTTGAGCTACAGCAAGGAATAAGCAAAAGTAATATAAGAATAAATATGTCGATTTTTCTTTTTAGTTCTTCAGGTTGAAGTGTCAGGTAACTGGTTTAGCATGTTAGCATGCTAGTTTGCTCGCTGAGTTTTTGTCTGAACAGGTGTCCAGGACGAGGACGAGCGAGAGTGTAAAAACTGCGTTTACAAAATAAGTTTTACAGTATTTTAAGCTAATTATTCAGTTGT